GAGCAGCGGCTGCAGGCGCAGGCCACTGGGTCACCGAGGTCGGCGGGTGCTGCGGCCGCTCGCCCGCCGCGAGGGCAGCAGGCTGAGGAGCGGCCAGATGGCAGTCCTAAGGGTTAGTGGGCTCTTACCTCCCCACCGCCCTGCTGAGGGGGACGCGACGCCACGCCACGCCGCGCTGAGGGGTGAAGAGCGACCCAGGCGGGCGTCTCCCGAGTGCGCGACGTCGACTCGGGCCGGCGCCCTCCGGCCAAGCCGGACACCGCGCAGGCGCAGAGGCGGCGGCCGCACACGCCCCCTCCTGGACGTCTGCGCCCCGGCGCCTGCGCACAGCGGTCAACCTAGGCCGGAAGGGCCGCCGGTTCTGCGACGCTGGGGACGCCGGGAGGTTCCGGCCGTGCCGGGAGCAGATCTTCGCACGGACCGTGCAGCCCCGGGACCGGTCCCCCGCCCCGTGACGGCGTGCAGCCTACCTCCGCCCCACTGCTATTCTCGATGAGTTTATTTCTAAGAGTAAATTAATTATGCTCATGTTGTTAGATCAGTATCTTATGAATTTGGCTAATGCCTATTCGTTCCCTAGAACACAATTGCTTTCAAATATATTTAAAAACTTTCTTAGTTTAGCAAACCAAAAACAAAACTTACTGGAAGACCTGTAGTTTTTTTCTTTTAAGGAGAAGTTATGTTTGTACGTATAAAGTTTTTAGCCCATGGTTACTTTCTAATGCCAAGTATTAAAGACTTTGATATTGAAGGTTACAAAAGCAGATTGCAGTAGTTTAAGCAAAATTTTCAAAGTATGGTAAATCTCCCATATGCTGTAGAGGATTATTTAATTTGGATTCCACTAATTTTCCGATATGTAGTGCAATAAAACAAGATAGGAAATTAAACCAACTAACCAGACCTTACATTAATGACTATTACTTTAACCCAGTGGTTGACAATGACTGGAGGCATTTTGGTGGTCACGCCTGGGGTGCTGCTGACGTCTAGTCAGCAGAGGCCAAGGGCACCGCCAAGGGCTTTACAGGACAGAGGACAAACCTTGAAGACCAGGGAGTCTCCTGCCTGACATCAGCAGTGCCAACACTGAGACACCCTGATCAGCCCACACTGTTTTCCTTCAAATTCCTGGTAAACTCGTTTTTGTTTTGTTTTGTTTTTTTTGTTTGTTTGTTTTGTTTTTCTGATGACCACATGCACAAATGTGAGGCCAGAACCTAGGACTAGGTTTTGAACTCCTGCATGAGTGCTTATGTCAATACAAATTAAACCTTTCCTAAGCACTGATAAAAGCAGATAATCAGAGAGAACACACAATGACTGGTTTTATGGGGCAGACATGGGGCCAGTCATATCCCCATAGAGAGCAATACTTCGTCCCTGTTGTGTTAGACACACAATCGTTCATTATCAAGAACCCACTTATTACCAACTACTTTTCAGAGGGTGGACATTTCTGCTTATCTGTGAACAAAATCTCAAGTTCAGGAATTTTCCCTGCTGTGAGAACTACCTGGTTGCTAGTATCACCGCTTACTTCATCCTAACAGGGCACACAGAAACACTGTGAACAGCAAAGTTTCCTCTTACAGAGCGCTACAATTTAGCATTGGTCGTTGGGAGCTGCCTTTCACTTCTCAAAGGAAAATAAATACTGTACTCACAAGACAATCACTCTAGATCCCTGGTTGTAACACAGTGGTCACGTTTTGTGAGAACTGCTACAAACCAAAACGCTCAGATAAACGAAATCCGAGTACATTTAAAAATTTATGAGAAACAATAATAGCATAAAGATTTGTCTGTTGACAAATTTTTGAATTTTTGACATCAGCAATAAGAAGACAGAAGTGACAAATTTTTGAATTTTTGACATCAGCAATAAGAAGACAGAAGTGACGCCCTCTTTCCAGCACTTATTTATGGACTGTAGCAGCCTTGCTCTTCTTGTTAGTCCTCATTTGGAGATCCTGCAGAGCTTTGAATTGATGAAAGATAAATACAGTCTGGTGAAGTTTTAGGGTTAAATTGTGTCTATTATTTTAAAATGATTTTCTTAGCCATCTTAATAAATGACAGTTTATTCAATTAACTTAGTCTAATCCCTCTTCATGTGTACTCAGTAAACAAAAATAAATGGTTTGTAAGGCATATACCCTAGAATTTAAAAACTATGGGTTTTTTGGTCCACAACTACTTCATGTTTTTAAAAACAATTCCATTTTGTAACAAATTATGTTACTTTGTTAGCATTCAAAATTCGAGAACTAAAGCTATTAGTTTGTGGCTTTGTGTTATTTTGTAACATGGAGCTAGTTTGCAGACTGATGTTACTTTGTAACATATTACATTTAAGAACTACCAGTTAGTTTGTGGCCTCCACTGAATCATAAGGAAAGTAAACAAAGCACTAAAAATTCAAATACCTCTCACATAGAAATGAAATTGTACTTCGTGTCACTTTTATTTGCCTGTGGGTGTTTCCTTAGTGCAGTACATTATTCTAGGAGTTGGCAGAATTACCAAGCAAATAATTCATGGTTTTAGCCCTGAAGAAATTTCCAGTACAGTCATTATTTTGTTTGCTAGTATAATTGCTAGCATAAAAAAATAGATGGAAGTTGATAACATTACAAGATCTTTGCATAGATTCTTGGTCAATTAAGTTTTCCGTGATTTCCTTTGTTGGTTAAAATGAAGAAGCAGCCTGCACATGAAACGTATATTAATCAAAATTAATCCTTGGGAAGATTTGGGTCATCATTACATACTAAAAAAATTAATACAGCAGCTTTGATCTCTAAAGAGATCAATTTGTAACTGTAAATTGAACTGTAAATTTTTACAGTTCAGGGACAAGAACGGTAATGGTTTTTCCACTTCAGTAAGTCATCCAGCTATAACATGCTTGGCCAGCTTATTTCTGAGATTAGCTAGTCATGGCTTAAATCAGCAGCAGTTTTTAATTATTTGGAGAACAGGAATCTTGGTGACTTCAACAGGCTTAAATTCCCCAGTAACAGGAACTTTCAAAGCTGTTCCCTTTTCATAAGTAACTTTGGTGCAGAAAATATCCAAAGCAAACTTGAAACTCAAGTACTGCAAGTTTTCGCTTCTTTTTTGTTTCTTGGCTGGTCTTATGCCAATAAGCATTTTTAGAACTAGGAATTCATTGTCCCCAAACAGACCTGGCATGTGAGTGCTGTATATATGCTAAAACACTCCGGTTACAAGGAAAAGGACTAACACATTTTATTTACTGATCTTTTTAAGAAAGCCCTTGTGACATGGTCCAGGACCGTTGAGATCAGCTGTTTAATGGAGCAGTGTCTCTTCTGATGTCTGACTGTCCTCCAAATTCTATAATGTAATTTAATGGCCAGTGTGATAGCATTACAAGGCAGGGCCTCAGTCATGAGGGCAGAGGCCTTGTGGATAAGTTAGGGCTCTTATTAAGTTTAAAAGAAAAAAAACTTCTTGGATTTACTATTTCCCTTTCTTCCTTGTGAGGAAACCAAGATGGTCCATCTACAAGGATTGTATTTCTGGCTTTCCTGTCCTCTGGGCATATGATGGTAGTGTACTTGCAGGCCTTCTGTAGTTGAATAGGGCCATGTGATTGACTTAGGCACATTTTTTTTTGGCTTTTTTCCGGTATTGGGAATCAAACTCACAACCTTGCGCTTGCCAGGCAGGCGCTGTGCCGCTGAGCTAAATCCCCAGCCCGCAAAAATTGTGAGCAAAAGTTATACATTCATTTCCAGACTGGACTCTTTGCAAAGTAGGACTTCCAGAACTTTCCATTGGCACAGCAGTAGGCAGAGGATGATATTGGGGTGTTCTATCATCCCAAGTCTCTGAGAGATTCTAATGAACATCTCTAAAGCATGAAATAAGCCTTGTCTTATGCCACTGAGACTTGGGAGAGTGATTTATTACTGCCCTACAGCCTGCTTGTCTGTCCTGGCAGATGAGCTCCAACACTGAGCGGTGCCCTGAAAAGGGTGGCTGTGACAGTGAGACATGGAGACAGTGTGCAATCAGAGGTCTGTGCCAATGTCACTTCTGAGTGTCATTTTCCTTTGCAAGTGAATTACTTTTTAATCACTACGATTTGCCAAATAAATGTTTCACCAAATGTACATGTTTATTTCTACTGTTTCTCAGGGTGATAGTCAAATAATTTCACGTTTGTAAAATGTCAGACACATATAGAAGTAGAGAGGTTTTGTGACCTGAGTGTTTTGGTCCCCTTACACTGCCCCTATTGAAATGCTAGCCCAAGGCAATGATGTTGGGGGACAGGCTGTGGGCAGCTGATAAGATCTTGAGGGCAGAGAACTAGCCAGCTCTTTCCATCCTGAGAGGAAAAGCAAGCATCTTCGCAGACCCTTTCCAGATACCACATGTACCAATACCTTGATCTTGGACTTTTTAGCCTGCAGAAGTGTGAGGTAAATTTCTGTTGTTTATAAACTATTCGTTAAACCATATATTTATCTCTAGGCTTCAACAACCAACAGCGTGTGGTGATAGATCTCATTTTATCTATAAACCCAACTGCTCTACTTCCTCTACGTCATAACTGCATTATTTTGAGGCAAATCTCATTTGTATCTTTTCATGTCTAAATTTTTCCTCATATATTTAAAAGATACAGACTGTATGAGGTAGAAATAATATAATCCATTCCCTTGTATCCAACACCATTATCCACTTGTTTCATCTATACTATTTCTTCCATAAATACCTTAATGTTTATTTCTAAACAAAAACAGCTCTTAACAGAAATATCAGCAATAACATTGTCACATCTGAAAAATTTAACAATAACTCTTCCCAAATATTTAGGCACAAATATTCCTGCCCCCAGTGGCTTTATAAATGTCATAATTTAAAAATAGTTTGTATGAGTCAAAATCCACATAAGGACAACGTATGAGACTAATTGATAGCTAGTAACATTTTCTTCTTACTTGGGATTTATATTTTGAAAAGACCATGTTTTTTGGTCTGTAAAATGTTATCTGGATTTTTTTTTCTTTGTAAATCCCTTTCTCATGGGTTAGCTTTCTGACACTGATACAAAATACCTAAGTTAACTTATACGGAGGAAGGGTTCATTTTGACTCACAGTTTGGAGGTTTCAGGCCCCGGTCACCTGGCCCTGTCCACTGGGTCCATGGAGAGACACCTTATACACAGTGTTGCAGGTGCATGGGGGAGGAAACAGCTCACCTCATGCTGGCCAGGAAAGAGAAGGAGGAAGGGGTGGGTTTCAGCACTTCCTTCA